AATTTTCAACAATTGTTTCAATTACTCACAATTTTATGTCTCATTCATCTTCATTCCATTGCATTGGTTTTTTCTTTCAGATTTGCTTGGCGATACGGCGAACACGGACAATAAAATCGTCGACGTCCAGACTTTCAAAAATGGAAAATGAAGGAAAATTGGTGAATATGGATCACGTGATTAGATTGTTTTTATTGAAAAAAAAAACAATTATTTTTTTAAAATAATTTTAAATTTGAATGCCCGAAATGTATATTGAAAGCGCGCAATATCAGGTCTAACAGCGACCGGAAGGAGATTCATATATATTTAATCAACCCTCCGACAGGAAGAAATAATCTAAGACCCTTATCACTGCCACCAGCTCACCCCGTATTTAAGCGATGCTCGGGAAACGAACGGGGTGGTAGGAAGCTGGGAGACACGCTTTAAGTCCACACTATTTCGTTACTCACTCCATCGTTCATAAATAAACTCTTACAAGGTTGCTTATTGTTTGTTTCCAACACGAAGCCATGAACATGGAAAGAGCCGGGGATATGGCCCACAAGGCCGGGATTTATGGGAAGGTTTAAAATGTAAAAATTAATTAAAATGTGAATTCAAATAATTTCGTTATATAACATTTCGTCTCATTTATCTGCAATCCGCACTTTGTCCATTCAAGTTTCCGGAACATCATTTTCAGAACCTTGACCAAGCATTTACCTAAGTCCCAAAATGTTCCGCGGCTTATCCAAAACCAAAATGGGTCCGTTGTTTGCCCCGATCGAATCGCTAAGTAATGCATAAAAAACAAATGAAATTTTGAGATTGAAATTGATTTTGGTTTAATCTCTTCAAACTATCATAGATGTAACTTTTCTCGTAAAACGATGTATCCCATATTGAATAATGTCGATTAGGGATTCCCCGCGGGCGAAAATTGTGACTTTCCGCTGCAATACGCGTACAGTCCTCATGCACCTATCATTAAATGCTAGAAATTTAACAAACTTATATTTGATTGGCATATTTTACATTCCTTCTTTGAAAAATGTCAATTTTTTGGATGAATAAGTCCTATATACGGTGGGCGATCGGCCCCATATGCACCGGCCCACGCAGAATCTCTAGGGTCCCTAAAAATGACAACAAACTAGTAGTTTTCGTCAATTTCCCCGCCCTCCGATCCACTTGTGTTGCAACAAATAGTTCATCACTGGGCGCAAAAATCGTAATTGTTAAAAGTGTCAGCCAATGCTTCTCCTTCCTCGAATTTAAATTGGATACGACATTATGGTGTCCCTGCCCTCCGTTCCGATATTACTTTTAAAGGAACATCATCGGGCGAAAAAAACGAACCTAGTTGGCAATCCTTTGGGTAAAACGTTTTTGGGCAGCGCGCATCTTCGACTGAAAAACCCAAAGAAGGCTTCTGAAATGATGAATTATGTAATGGAATGTGGTTTTTACATGTGCTTACCTTTTTGATGAAGCTCTATCAAATCAGCATTGTAAAGCAAAAAGCAAAAACAGCAAAAATATGAGTTTAAAAGAGAAAATACAACAAATGGAGATTTTTTTTTTCATTTTTTACGACAATGGATCTTTTATTTACATTAAAAATGGTTGTCCGTCGTTAACTATTCTATTTAATTTTTTAATATTTTTTGTTTGAAATTTTTCCTTTCATTTTCGCATTTCTTTTAACTAGAGATTCAAGTGTCTTTTTTCTCATCAAACGAATTTAATTAACATTTGCGACCAAATGTTGACGATCATAGCTAATTTGCTACTGTATTCCGTCTTCTTTCGCATCAGGAGCCATTCCATTCAAAGATCAGCAAATTGCAGCCGTTTTCTTTTTTCTTCTCTTTTTTCGAGCTCGGCTTCGTCCAAAATGTTTGTAGAAATAAAAAAAGATTTGCACGTGGTTTTTGGGCAAATTTCATTTCTAAAAAATGAAAATCAATGAAATTTAAGTTGGAATATATAATCATACGATTCGATCGGCTCTTTTATTTTTGTTTTTCTGCTGATTCCAGCTTCTTCAATCAATTTCAAATTTGTATATCGACTTCATATTTAATCGATCTGAAAAATTATTGTTGTATTCAGGCCATAAATTTCGAATTAATTACATTTTGGATGCGACCATTATCGCATCAAATCGTTTTCAATTATCAAACGATCATAGGAAGTAGAAACAAAAATAATACAATCAAAGTCAACCAATCAAACGACACTGGATCTTTTCTTTTTTTTTTTTAACAATAGAAGTTGTCCGTCGTTTAAAATATTTCAAATACGGGAAAAAGGGCAACACTGTAGCGAGAAATGAATGCTAATAAATGAGCCTGGATAACAGGGAATCGATAAAAAAAAGAGAAACTAATGGGTAAAATAAAAAGGGTTGAAAGAAACGGAGTTCCTATCAACTATATAAAAATTACAATACATATTATGGATTCGACAATAAAATGAGAGTTCTGAACGATAATGGATCTTTTTCCACTTTTTCTACAATTCATTTTGTCCATCGTTTTTAATTTGACAATTATTGTTAAACAAATAATTTGAATTCAATCAATAATTTGAGGTTTACTAAATAAGAATATCGGTTTGAAATTTGAAATAAGCTTACTTACCATCGAAAGAGCACCTTGATTGCGCGCTCGAAACAACTGTCTTCTCGATTTGGTTTGTTCCGCATAAACGTTGTTCCTTGTCATTATTTATCGAAATATCATTGATTCATTAATTTCTTGATTATATTTCATTGTTTTTCTAAAATCCAAAAATTAAATTCAGCAACCTAAAAGTCTTCTTTTTTACCTCGTAATATGCACCATTATTATATGCTGCTTCAATATATCAACATAATTTGAGAAAACGTCAAATCAACGTTACATATCTTGGTCCATTATTTCAGTAGTCTTCGTTATGAAAATATAAAATATTGATGGACTTTAGTTGGAAGAAGTGGGCAAGTGTCCAAAAATGGAAGAATCGCGTGTGGAATCGAAGAAGTTCCAGAAGCACCTTGATCGTGTGCTGAACTCATCGGACAAATTGAGTAGAGATCATCTGCGGCAATCAAAATTGTTTGTCTCATTGATCATAACATCGATTTGAGCATACTTTCAGCTGTTATTTTCTAAAACTATTTTATATAAAGAAGCCCAGAAAAGATTTGATTTGATTACCACAATATTTGCACCTTTCCCTTGTGCTTCTCGATTTCAGACTGATCAGACCAAAGCAATAGATCGATAGAATAAAAATTCTGTCTTTGTTCACTAGAAACCAATATCCGAAGGAATGTCCTTCACTGGGAATCTATCAAGCATCACCAGCATCACAATAGATTGATAGATATCAGTTCTCTGCATTCCACGTCCGAGCTTCTTCATTCTATAAGCTTGTTTAGAATTTGATTCGAATATTCCATAAAACTGAAAAGAACAACTATTTTTGGTCAACATAAGAAACCCTTCTTACTTCAAAGAGATCAAGATGATTCCAGGAATTTGGCAAAGCTTCTGCCGAAAACTCGACTTGTTTTATGAAGAGTATCACATTCGATTTGAGCATAATAATCCAATCACAATCAAATGACTGCCGTGAGCCGAAAACTTCAAGGTCGGCTTCATCTCATTTCATTATTCGTAAAAACGCGTGATTGGAAGAATGTGATGAAATTAATGGTTTCCTAATATAGGAATCCATCAAACAATGATTTTTCTTAGTTTTTTTTCTATTTTTTTTTTTTCCTTTTTTTTCTTTTTTTTTTCCTTTTTTTCTTTTTTTTTCTTTTTTAAATTTTTTTTATTTTATTGTTTTTTTTTTAATATTTATTTCTTTTTTTTTTTTTTTTTTTTTCTTTTTTTTTTTTCTTTCTTTCCTTTAAATTATTTTATTCTTTTAATTGTGCCTCGTCGTCACGCCAATCGCTCGCAGAACAGTCGTGTGATCTTGGTTGTCGCGCGAATCGCCGAGGTTCTCTTAGATCTTATTGGAACACTCGGTTCATTTTCGGGAAGTGGCGGATTCGCAGATGCCTCGTTCGCAATTGTTTGAAGTTGCGAACTCAGCCCTTTCACGACAGCTCGCAAAAGGTTGAGCTCCCTCGCCAAATCCATACGCTCAGCCGCTGCCAGGTTGCTAGATGGTGCCGCCGGAGCGAGGTGCTCCTCATGCCAGTGCATCACCATCAGCACTGGCTGCTCGCAGCCTATACAGTGGCGACCGGCAAGTGCGTCATTTACGATTCGCTTGTCGCGAGCCACTCGCGCAAAACCAAGGCCACCATCTCGAATGGGCTGAAACGAGCTCTCGCCGCGCTCTATCCGTCGACACTCTCGAGTGTCAGATGGGCACCTCAGAAACATCAAGAGGCCCAGACGGACGGGTTTAGTTGCGGCCTGTTCGTGATCGCCAATGCCAGGAGATTTCTCTGCTCACCATCTAGCAACCTGGCAGCGGCTGAGCGTATGGATTTGGCGAGGGAGCTCAACCTTTTGCGAGCTGTCGTGAAAGGGCTGAGTTCGCAACTTCAAACAATTGCGAACGAGGCATCTGCGAATCCGCCACTTCCCGAAAATGAACCGAGTGTTCCAATAAGATCTAAGAGAACCTCGGCGATTCGCGCGACAACCAAGATCACACGACTGTTCTGCGAGCGATTGGCGTGACGACGAGGCACAATTAAAAGAATAAAATAATTTAAAGGAAAGAAAGAAAAAAATAGAAAAAAAAATAAAAAAAAAAACAATAAAAAAAAAAAAAATAAAAAAAAAAAAAAAAAGAAAAAAAGAAAAAAAAAAAACAAAAAAAAGGAAAAAAAAAAAAATATAAAAAAAACGAAGAAAAATCATTGTTTGATGGATTCCTATATTAGGAAACCATTAATTTCATCACATTCTTCCAATCACGCGTTTTTACGAATAATGAAATGAGATGAAGCCGACCTTGAAGTTTTCGGCTCACGGCAGTCATTTGATTGTGATTGGATTATTATGCTCAAATCGAATGTGATACTCTTCATAAAACAAGTCGAGTTTTCGGCAGAAGCTTTGCCAAATTCCTGGAATCATCTTGATCTCTTTGAAGTAAGAAGGGTTTCTTATGTTGACCAAAAATAGTTGTTCTTTTCAGTTTTATGGAATATTCGAATCAAATTCTAAACAAGCTTATAGAATGAAGAAGCTCGGACGTGGAATGCAGAGAACTGATATCTATCAATCTATTGTGATGCTGGTGATGCTTGATAGATTCCCAGTGAAGGACATTCCTTCGGATATTGGTTTCTAGTGAACAAAGACAGAATTTTTATTCTATCGATCTATTGCTTTGGTCTGATCAGTCTGAAATCGAGAAGCACAAGGGAAAGGTGCAAATATTGTGGTAATCAAATCAAATCTTTTCTGGGCTTCTTTATATAAAATAGTTTTAGAAAATAACAGCTGAAAGTATGCTCAAATCGATGTTATGATCAATGAGACAAACAATTTTGATTGCCGCAGATGATCTCTACTCAATTTGTCCGATGAGTTCAGCACACGATCAAGGTGCTTCTGGAACTTCTTCGATTCCACACGCGATTCTTCCATTTTTGGACACTTGCCCACTTCTTCCAACTAAAGTCCATCAATATTTTATATTTTCATAACGAAGACTACTGAAATAATGGACCAAGATATGTAACGTTGATTTGACGTTTTCTCAAATTATGTTGATATATTGAAGCAGCATATAATAATGGTGCATATTACGAGGTAAAAAAGAAGACTTTTAGGTTGCTGAATTTAATTTTTGGATTTTAGAAAAACAATGAAATATAATCAAGAAATTAATGAATCAATGATATTTCGATAAATAATGACAAGGAACAACGTTTATGCGGAACAAACCAAATCGAGAAGACAGTTGTTTCGAGCGCGCAATCAAGGTGCTCTTTCGATGGTAAGTAAGCTTATTTCAAATTTCAAACCGATATTCTTATTTAGTAAACCTCAAATTATTGATTGAATTCAAATTATTTGTTTAACAATAATTGTCAAATTAAAAACGATGGACAAAATGAATTGTAGAAAAAGTGGAAAAAGATCCATTATCGTTCAGAACTCTCATTTTATTGTCGAATCCATAATATGTATTGTAATTTTTATATAGTTGATAGGAACTCCGTTTCTTTCAACCCTTTTTATTTTACCCATTAGTTTCTCTTTTTTTTATCGATTCCCTGTTATCCAGGCTCATTTATTAGCATTCATTTCTCGCTACAGTGTTGCCCTTTTTCCCGTATTTGAAATATTTTAAACGACGGACAACTTCTATTGTTAAAAAAAAAAAGAAAAGATCCAGTGTCGTTTGATTGGTTGACTTTGATTGTATTATTTTTGTTTCTACTTCCTATGATCGTTTGATAATTGAAAACGATTTGATGCGATAATGGTCGCATCCAAAATGTAATTAATTCGAAATTTATGGCCTGAATACAACAATAATTTTTCAGATCGATTAAATATGAAGTCGATATACAAATTTGAAATTGATTGAAGAAGCTGGAATCAGCAGAAAAACAAAAATAAAAGAGCCGATCGAATCGTATGATTATATATTCCAACTTAAATTTCATTGATTTTCATTTTTTAGAAATGAAATTTGCCCAAAAACCACGTGCAAATCTTTTTTTATTTCTACAAACATTTTGGACGAAGCCGAGCTCGAAAAAAGAGAAGAAAAAAGAAAACGGCTGCAATTTGCTGATCTTTGAATGGAATGGCTCCTGATGCGAAAGAAGACGGAATACAGTAGCAAATTAGCTATGATCGTCAACATTTGGTCGCAAATGTTAATTAAATTCGTTTGATGAGAAAAAAGACACTTGAATCTCTAGTTAAAAGAAATGCGAAAATGAAAGGAAAAATTTCAAACAAAAAATATTAAAAAATTAAATAGAATAGTTAACGACGGACAACCATTTTTAATGTAAATAAAAGATCCATTGTCGTAAAAAATGAAAAAAAAAATCTCCATTTGTTGTATTTTCTCTTTTAAACTCATATTTTTGCTGTTTTTGCTTTTTGCTTTACAATGCTGATTTGATAGAGCTTCATCAAAAAGGTAAGCACATGTAAAAACCACATTCCATTACATAATTCATCATTTCAGAAGCCTTCTTTGGGTTTTTCAGTCGAAGATGCGCGCTGCCCAAAAACGTTTTACCCAAAGGATTGCCAACTAGGTTCGTTTTTTTCGCCCGATGATGTTCCTTTAAAAGTAATATCGGAACGGAGGGCAGGGACACCATAATGTCGTATCCAATTTAAATTCGAGGAAGGAGAAGCATTGGCTGACACTTTTAACAATTACGATTTTTGCGCCCAGTGATGAACTATTTGTTGCAACACAAGTGGATCGGAGGGCGGGGAAATTGACGAAAACTACTAGTTTGTTGTCATTTTTAGGGACCCTAGAGATTCTGCGTGGGCCGGTGCATATGGGGCCGATCGCCCACCGTATATAGGACTTATTCATCCAAAAAATTGACATTTTTCAAAGAAGGAATGTAAAATATGCCAATCAAATATAAGTTTGTTAAATTTCTAGCATTTAATGATAGGTGCATGAGGACTGTACGCGTATTGCAGCGGAAAGTCACAATTTTCGCCCGCGGGGAATCCCTAATCGACATTATTCAATATGGGATACATCGTTTTACGAGAAAAGTTACATCTATGATAGTTTGAAGAGATTAAACCAAAATCAATTTCAATCTCAAAATTTCATTTGTTTTTTATGCATTACTTAGCGATTCGATCGGGGCAAACAACGGACCCATTTTGGTTTTGGATAAGCCGCGGAACATTTTGGGACTTAGGTAAATGCTTGGTCAAGGTTCTGAAAATGATGTTCCGGAAACTTGAATGGACAAAGTGCGGATTGCAGATAAATGAGACGAAATGTTATATAACGAAATTATTTGAATTCACATTTTAATTAATTTTTACATTTTAAACCTTCCCATAAATCCCGGCCTTGTGGGCCATATCCCCGGCTCTTTCCATGTTCATGGCTTCGTGTTGGAAACAAACAATAAGCAACCTTGTAAGAGTTTATTTATGAACGATGGAGTGAGTAACGAAATAGTGTGGACTTAAAGCGTGTCTCCCAGCTTCCTACCACCCCGTTCGTTTCCCGAGCATCGCTTAAATACGGGGTGAGCTGGTGGCAGTGATAAGGGTCTTAGATTATTTCTTCCTGTCGGAGGGTTGATTAAATATATATGAATCTCCTTCCGGTCGCTGTTAGACCTGATATTGCGCGCTTTCAATATACATTTCGGGCATTCAAATTTAAAATTATTTTAAAAAAATAATTGTTTTTTTTTTCAATAAAAACAATCTAATCACGTGATCCATATTCACCAATTTTCCTTCATTTTCCATTTTTGAAAGTCTGGACGTCGACGATTTTATTGTCCGTGTTCGCCGTATCGCCAAGCAAATCTGAAAGAAAAAACCAATGCAATGGAATGAAGATGAATGAGACATAAAATTGTGAGTAATTGAAACAATTGTTGAAAATTAATATGCCGAAAAATCGAGAACATTAGTTAGAATCGATAATTTTAAACAAAATTGAAAATTGTTCCTTTTTTCGTCAATTTTGTCATATGCAGAATTTGTCATACAGTAATCACAATTTTTCCACGTTTTCAATTGCCACGTTCCTTTCATTCATTTTCAGTTTTTCTTCAATTTTGCTGTAAATTTTTGACTAATTTCACTTAATCGCGAATTATTTATATTATTTGTATTGAAAACGTATTAAATTAGCTGTATTGCAGACAATATATGAATATGCATCCGTCGGCGGCACTCGGCATTTTGGATTTCAAGTGTTCAAAGGGCGAAGAAATTTCGCAAAAAGGCTGCTGCGTGATTGGAGGCTGACAACTATCCAGGCGGGGGAGCCAACGTCCAGGGGCTCGAAAGCTCTAACCCGCCAGCAAATTGCTTAATTTAGTTAGGGGTAGTCTGCCGGTTGTTGTCTCACAACAGCTCATTGGAGCTGGGGCGCTTTGGCGCGTAATTTTCTGATTGCCCTTCGACGCTTATGGATCCGGATATTGCTACTCTCGGAAATCAGTTTGATGAAACTTTTTTGGTGTTTTTTAATTGAATATTTCAGAAAGCTCGGAAACATTCAAAGCGCCTGATTGAATGAGAAGAGATTCTGTCGTGTTAAAAGTCAAACGAAACTCGAATCGCTCATGAGTCATGATGTAATTTGCTTTTCATTTTTGAATTTAATTAATCGTTTTAATTTCAGCTAATTACTGTAATTTATCCAAATTGCTCAATCGGTTTCAACACGAAATACACTTGTTGAAACCAGTCATTTATAGCCGCTTTCTAGGTGAAAAGTGTTGGGCGACCAGCAAAAGGATTTGAAAACAATTCGACCCAACTTCTGATACAGTGCGTTATCTCCTACATCCCGTTTGTCATTAAAGACCGGGCTAATTAGCACTTTAATTAGTTTTGCAACTTAATCAATTGTTTACTTTCGTTTCCCATTTCCGGTATTATTTTTAAAATAGCGACTTCAATTTCAGATAATAGAAATGAGTTGCAATTGGCCTCAAGTGGCTCAATGATTGTGGATATCCCCGTAAGAAGCGGGATTGCCAATCTACCTATGAGGCGAATCGGAAAGATTATCTTCTGTATAAGGTTGGTGGTTTTGTACATTCTGTTTCAAACTTGTTTCCCACGTTTTATTAATGTTTGAAAAACTCTAGTAAATAAAAAATTCAATCGGATTCGAAAATAACTTCATTTTAATCGAATCGAATATAAATTAATCTGTTTTGAATTGTTCTAATATTTCAATCGAATACGATTTCAAATTCGAAAATGAGAAATAAATCGATTTCGACAATTTTTGAAACGAATTTAAACATTTTCTCAATCGAATCATGTTAATTTACATTTAATTTTCCTGCGAATCCGATTGATATTTATTTACATGAGAAGGGATTGTCGAACATTGGCCAAATACAAAGAAAATCCAAAGGTTTCGGCGAGTGGTGTGCGCTTTCAACTAATCTCCACATGTTTTTTTTTCAAGAACGCTGTAATTGGTTTTTTTTTTTGCATTTAGCCAAGCCATTTTTTTATCGTTCGTTTTTTTATTATTTCACATTGTCTTAAAAACATAAAAGTTTATGTTTTGCAGGCGAAAATCGAAGATGGTATCATTTTTCTGGGCGACAGGTGCTGCTTCGCGAAAACGTAAGTTTT